AATATCTAAAAAGCTCAGTAGGATCTTCAGCCAAGACAACATACTTGCACACTTTAAACCCAAGAATACACTAAGGCAGAAGTTTGCCCATGCCACGGATAAAATACCCAGAGACAAATTGACCAATGTGGTATATGCAATATAATGCAGTGAGATATGTGCATTGGGAAACAAAACAACCACTTCATAAACTCATGGCATAACACAGGAGAACAAACTTATCAGAACAAGATTCAGCAATCCATCTGCATTTAAAAGACAAATGCCAGTCTTTTGAAGCCAGCAAAGTCCACATTTTGGACAAAAAAGACTGTGGTTTGAAAGAGGGGTCAAAGTGGCCATCTATATCAAAATTCAACATCCCTCTCTCAATATATGGGGAGGTACAACATCATCTATCTCCAGTCTATAACACAGTCCTTTCAGCAGTTCCAAGAAGGTTCCACACCCATTTGCACTACTCAGGTGACCGTGAGGACATAGATAAACCTCTAACTGGCCTGAATGACTCTCTAAAACACAGGTGTCAAACTCACCATGTCATGTGATATGTCATGACGTATGGTGATCTTTTTTGCATCACTGGAACTGGGTGGGCGCAGCCTCCATATGATGCAATGGGCCCACAGGCCAGCAGTTTGATACCCCTGCTCTAAAAGAATGCAAATGACCAGCTGTCTGCAAGGAATATAAATCCTTCCATTCCCCACGGTCCAGTCAGAATGAAGTAGTTTTTGGGATGAGAGGCAAAACATTTTCAAAGAAAACAAGAAAGTCCAGTTGCCTCTTGAAAAAGCACCTTTGGGACACCCATGACCTGGATGACTCAGAATCTCTATAGATAAACAAATATAGAAAAATTGGTTGTATGACAGGGAGGAATATTCCATTTATTCCTCAGGAGGGATCTACTCTTTCAATCACATGGGAACTTCTGAAAAGCTCTTGATTTTCTTTAGATTGTATTCCTCAAAATTTAGTAGTAGTCCCAGACATCTTCCAAAAATTGCTATCTTATTTTAATATTTAAGGTGACTGATTGGAAAAATCAGGAGTGTTATCTAGCTAATTCAGTCTAATTTTCCTAGTGTAATATGTTATTTATATGTTATTCCTGCTTTGTTTCAGTTTAGATTTTTACTGTTAATACAGTCATTTTTTTTCATTACCACATAATCCTAACCAGTTCAGTCTAGATAAAACCGGCTGTTCCTCCCCCCCGCCCAGTTACAACTTTTTTTTTTTTTTTTTTCATTCTGTACTAAACTGAAGAAAACATTATGTTTGGCTTTTGTTGAAAGCTGTTTATTCTCCCCTCTGTTAACACCTGATGTGAGTCTGAGTCATCCTTGTCCCCGCAGTATTGAGGAACATTAGCATGGAATTTCAAAATCCACCCCCAGAAAGATCTCAGCTGATCAAGAGAGACTCAGATTCCTGAGAAGAGCAGAAATGATAACAGAACATCACAGCATATCTCAGACATCTCTTTTCATCCCTGTAGCAAAAGCAGAGGTAGACGTAGAATTTTTGCAAAAGCCTTCTGTTACTCTGCTACAGTACATTGCTTGTTCAGCCAAATCATATGAATGTTTTTTTTTAAAAAAAGAATTTTGAAATGAAATATGGCATTTCAATAAGTATAAAACATTCAACATAGCTCATCTTAGATATATTTGTTAAGAGAAGTTGAAAAGAGGAAGATACAATAAACAAGGGAATAAAACCTAAAGAAACAAGCACTAAAAATAATGAGGAGGCCTGTGCTACTGTTCATGAAGCATTGTACAGTGCTATATTTACTGCCTGATTGCTGGAATCAGAATAGACTAAGTATTTCAGTAATCAGAACCTTATAAGAAGTACAAAGTGATTTTTTTTAAAGTTGCAAAATGTGCACAAAAATATGTTCTGTTCTTGGTATGGTTGTAAAAAATGATCCTATGTCACTGCAATGACAAAGAATGTTTATTAACAGTGCAGGTGAAACAAAGGCAGCAAAATAGCCCTTGTTCTAGGGAAAAACAACATAGTGATAGTCATCCTTAAAATAGGATTGGGTCAGCATTAGAAAATGCTGATAGGAATGAAATCTCTAAAGTTTTTGACAAGTGCAATTCTCATGAAGTGTGGGAAATAACTCTTATTTTCAGTACTGAATTTAGAAAAAAAGAATAGACCAATGTCAGATATTAATCTATATTTTTGTTTGATGGCTATTAAAGTAGTTTCTCACAAGAAATAAAGAAAGAAATATTCAGCAAAATGGTTGTAATTATTATTATTATTGACAAAGTCTCAACTAGGCTGTGGCTATAACAGGCAACTTGGATCACCGGTGTTAAAAGTAAAATAAAAGAAACAGAAAGCCCTGTAAATAATATTGAATTACAGCAACTAATATGGAAACAGTATTTAAAATGGGCTTTGCAACTGTTTATATACTCTTTGATAATACTTTATCTAGTTAGATATCTTATCGAGTTAGATATCTTCTTATCTAACTTGATTGTTTGGTACTTGTTTTCACAGTACCAATAGAACACTAGGTATATATTGCCCAGAAGTACCCAATCTTTGCTGAATATCATTACTTCAGTCATATATAATATAAACCAGATTAACAACTTCAAGATATTTTTAGACTACCTATATTCAATGTATCATCAATCAAATAAGTAATATTGGTATCCTATTATTTGCAAACTTTTTGGAAGGTGAAATGAGTGTAAAGAATCAAAGAAAGATTACAATCAATTTTATCATCAGTTTGGCACTAATGACTGAATTCAGCTACTTAAGAAGTTCTAAAAGAGCACAAGGTCCTTTGCAACAGTAGACTATTATATAAAAATGATTATAAGATCCATGCAAGTTATCAGAAAGTTATCTACGGTTCATCTTTTTGTACAGGGCAGAAAAGGGTTTTTTTGAAGATTGCACAAGAGAAGTGTAATAATAAAAGTGCAACTAGTATCTAGTTAATAAGGTTAAGTATTTAGGAATATATATCACAACATCTAATGGAAAATTGTATAAGAATAATTATGAACACTTATGGGTAAAAGTACAAAAAAGATTTAAATGATTGGCAAAAATTACAACTATCGTTACTGGGGAGAATTTCAGTAGTAAAGATGAACGTTCTACCAAAGTTTCTTTTTTTGTTTCAGATGATACCTATTTTAAAAAAGGATGCTAATTTGGATGAGAGGCAGAAGGGTATCAATAAATTTATCTGGGGTGGGAAGAAATCAAGGGTAAAGTTTAAGATTTTACAAGACGCTCGAGAAAGAGGTGGACTTAAAGCACCTAATTTGAAACTATATTATGATGCGGCCACTTTAACTTTAATAAGTGATTGGCTTAATTTAACAAATAAAAATATTCTTGCTCTTGAAGGTTGGGATTTATTATATGGTTGGCGCGCATATTTAATTTTTGATAAGAAAGTAGATCTGGTTTTTAAGTCACATATTTTAAGAAATGCTTTACTTCGAGTCTGGAAGAAGTATTATTATAAATTAAATTATAAAATACCTATTTGGGGGATTCCTGGACAAGCAATTCAGGGGGTTTCTAAGGGGGTGAATTTTGATAATATTTCTTATAAAGAATTACTTATTTGGTCGGGTACTAATTGGCAACTAAAGTCTTCAGATGTGTTAAGGCAAGAAAATATTTTACAATCATGGTTTCAATATTTGCAAATAGTGGAGAGGTGGACCTTAGATAAGAAAGTGGAAATCACTTTAGCAGATGAAAATTTGGTAATTCAGATTAAAGATCAGAAACATGCTCATATTAAAAGAATTTACAATGAGTTAATAAAATTGGATTTGGAAACAGAGTTAGTAAAAGATTGTATGATTAAATGGGCCCAGAATATTCAGGAACCAATTTCACTGGATTTATGGGAGGTAATTTGGATTAGAAATGTTAAATTTACGCAGGCTCAAAATTTGAGGGAAAATTTTTATAAAATGTTTTATAGGTGGCATCTGGATCCTAAAAAGTTGTCTTGTATGTACCCGAACCTGCAACCTAAATGTTGGAGATGTGGTTGCTTGGATGCAACCTATTTTCATGTTTGGTGGACCTGTAAAAATATTAAAGCCTTTTGGATTATGATTTGGTGGAACATTCAAAAGGTTTTTAAAAGGAAGATTAAGTTTACTCCCCAGTTATTTCTTTTGGGTGTTTTTGTGGATTTTGATGCTAAAGAAGCTATTTTAATGTTGAATTTAATAACAGCAGCAAGATTATTGGTGAGTCAATATTGGAAGAAAGACTCTCTGCCTTCTTTAGAAGAATGGGTATTTAAGGTTTCTAATTTAGCAGAAATGGCTAAAATTTCTGCTTATTTAAAGGATAATTCACAAGAGAGATATGTTATTGTATGGAGAAGATGGATAGAATATGTTCAGAAGAAATATGGAACTACAAAGTTTCATTTATTTTATGAGTAATGGATTTGTTTATAAAATTATGATGTTAAAGTTTGAAGAGAGTTAAGGGTTAGTATGATTTTGGTTATTGTATAATTAGTTAACTTAAATAGATTATGTTTAATATGTTTGTATAACCCTGTACTTAGCTCTGGGAAGTCGGGGGGGGGGGGGGAGGGGGAGGGGAGGGGGGGAGGAGGATGGGTTGGAGGTTAAATAGCTCAGATAAGTAGAAATAATTTTATTGTATATAAAGAGAAAGGAATTGCTCGGGCCTTTCCCCTGGACTGCATCCGGAGTGAGTAGATAGGAGGAAGGGGAGAAGTAAGTAGGAAGGTTGAGGAGAAGGAGGAGAGGGGGAGAGTGAGGAAGAAGAGAGAAAGAGGGAAGTGAGAGAAGAGGTTAGAGGATGGATGCGATTTGGGGGGAAATGGGTGAGCAATACCGAAAGTTGTGTGTATAAATTTATTTTATTTTTTATCTGAAGTATTTTTTATGAGTGTAATGTAAAATTGAAAATAAAAATTTTTTTACAAAAAAAAAGTGCAACTAGTATCAACAGTGTTTTTAAAAACAATGTTCCTTGCTACATTGTGAATAACTTACTTTAATATACTAGAAATAGTTACTTGGCCCAAAAACATAATTTGCCTTTGGTATAACAGAGAAAACCTACTTAAAATCTTCTCACAAGATGAATTTTGACATTTCTACCAACAATATTCATGACTCCATAATATAAAAAGAACCATAGATTCTAAAAGAACTATAGATTCAGAATCTATAGTTAGAGCCAATATGATAATATGTGCTATATGTGCTGTTGTAATTAACAGTGCTGAAGCAGAATGTGGGCTAAATGACATTTCAACAAAAGATAGAAACTTGCACCTGATATGCAAAATATTCATCAACATTTGGAAAAACATATCAATCACTTCAGTGCCCAACCAGAGATAAAATCATGGTTATGCAGTCAACAAAGATCAGCTGCTGAGACATATATGGAAAATTCTGTACACAATAAATCATTCAAAATGAAGAAAGTATCTGAAAATTATTATTGAGATTTGTCTTTGATGAAATTCCGATTTTTTAAAAGACAGATTGATACAATCTGATTAACTATGTTGATATCCTTATTTTGAAGGGTTAGGATTATGAGTTTCAGTCATCTGTTGCCTAATTTAGATAACCCAAGAGAGAATGATTGCATAACTGAGGAATAATCATATTTGCTGTATTTAATTTAACAATATTTAATATTTATCCAAGCCCTGCCTATTTCCTTATCTTGGTTCCACCCATTTTTGAAGTACAGCCCTTAGCAATTTATTCAAAGACCAGGTTTCAGCACAAAAAGGAATGTGTATAGAGCATTATTGATTGAGAAGCCCTTTGTTTTTTATTACAAATGAAAGTAGGTACTGCAGACAAAAAAAATTGTTCCTGTTTTGCTTTTCAACCTTTTTTTTCCAGTCTTCATTGTTCATTACTTTTCTCCTCTTTCTTCTGCCTGGATTAATGTGTGACTCAGCTTTCTTGTAACATCTTTCAATCTAGCAATCTCCAGATTCATTAGACTACAATTTTATAGTAATTCCAGAAGGATTATAATTGTTCACAATGGGTGTGGGAATCCTTCATGAAGTGACAAGATGAGAAAAAGCTCCTGAAAGGATCCAACTCAATTTTAAAAGGAGCTGTCTTCATTCGCTGTCTTCACTGACTCCCATCTCTTTCTTTTACTTCCTGGCCAACTATGTTATTCTTTCTCTCTCTGATCTTAAAAAGAAAAGAAAAAACATCTTGAAGACTTCAAGCACCAGCAAATTCCACTGATTTGTGTTGTGATAATCCTCTGTAAAACCAAGCCAATAACAGAAGAAGTGATGATACTTACAAAAAGAATAGATAATGACTAAAATACTGAGAAATGTAAGCAACTACAAAACTGTCTCTTTACTTCCATGCCATCCACCTACACAATTTTAAATGACATGAAGAAGTGCAAGGGGTTCTTATGGAGGAAAATATGTTGAATTTATATATATTATATAAATTATATAATATTTTGAGGCTGCTGAGAAGCCCTTGCCACTTTCATCAATTATAAATTATTGTTCATTATGTATCTAATGAAAAAGAATGTCTTTGCCTAATCTGCTTCACACTTTCACTCTTGTCTCATTGTTAATTGTTTTCTATTCATATCATATGTTTTCTTCTGGATACACACACATACACACACACATCACAGACAATGGTGCCATTACTTACTTGTTCCATTTGGCATGCAAATACAAAAGGAAAACAAACAGGCTTCTGTTTTCCAGTGCTCGCCAGGTTAATCCTGCACACCACTCACTGGTGCCTTTCACCCAGTGTTGAGATGCAGCTGCTTCTTAGCAAATCAAGGTCTTCTTTCATTTCACGCTGGCTTGTCCGTTAGGCAGTAGTTAAACTATCTTCTGATTGACATGGCTTCAGTTCTAGATTTGATTTGTTTGCTTTCATCGGTTTGGGCTTTGATGTTGCAAAAGACAATATTTTTTCAAAAAGAGAAACTTTTCTTCTGCTGCTTGGAGTTCTGCAGGCATATACTGTATCATGTCTCTGAGAACTGAAAGGGGAATAAAAGGCACTCTGCACAAGTTCAAAGACACTTGCCAATGTTATTACTTTGTATCTTTTTTGTTCAAATCCTGTCACTGAAAACAATCTGAGATTGAGTCAGAAGTGTTCAGGGAACAGGGTAAGAAAAACAAAAACAAAACCAAGATAGTGGCTCCAACTACGTGAAGTCCTACCTCTTTTATACATCCAGTACATGCATGGCACATATAAAATGAATGGGGTTTCAACAACATAATCATAGATGCTGTCTTGACTTATATATATATATATATATATATATATATATATATATATATATATATATATATATATATATATATATATATATATATATATATATATGCCTCCTTAAATGTCCCTAGGTTGAGCAGTCCAATCTAGTTGTGATGTACAATCATATAGATATGATGTAAAACCAGCATGATGTAAGCTCTGATGTTATTTAAGATCTGGACTCGTATTTCTTTTCAACCATGACAATCAACAGATGGCATTTTGCCCACTAACATTCTCAGCCTAGTCTATCTCACAGGTTTGCTGTAAGGATAAGGTTGAGTTTTAGTCCTGAGTTATTGGCAGGGCCATAATGGAGGAAAATTAGATTGAGACATATTTTGTGAAAGAAATACAACTCATGGAATTCACAGGCCACCTCCCATGTTTTAACATTAAAAAAGAGACACTGATGATTTCACTGGACAAATATATCCAAATATTCATGCTAAGCAGAACAATGTATTAGGAATGGATAAATGGCTAACAGGGAAGCAGCCTGCAATTTTAATAAGGCTTCATGAAGTTTCCTATGCAAAGGCAACAATGTTTGATCCTGCTAAGAAATAAACTCTAAGCTACTCATAAGCTCACAGCTCGTAGCTACATCTATTTTTATTGACATTAATTAATTAATAGTAAGGTTGGCAGGAATCCACAATTTTCACTGAGACTGGAGGACATAAGATGACAGTTTTTACAATCCCCCTCCTTGAATTGTGATCTAGACTAAAGTCTTCACCCATGCAGCAATTAGCCTGAAGGGGAAAAGTTCTATTGGCATCAATATCAGCTCACCCCATTCCCCACCCCGCTAATTGCTGTGTGAAGGGAAGGAGTTTTCATTAAGAGTGTAGGGGGGGGGGGAAAGGAAAGTTAAAAATGTTCTTTCCCATACACTGTAGTTTCCAGTGAATTTCCCCAGTTTATTATTCATTTAAAAGAAAAAAACCTACATGTAGCTGCTAGCTATGCAGCCAATGTCAGATGTAAAGGAAAAATATGCTTCAAGCAGAATTTGATGTCTGGTATATTCATAGACATACCCTTGAAGTTTCTTGGTGATATTACAGAAGGGGTTTGCATTTCCTTCTTCTGGGATTGGGAAATCCCAGGATTTTAGGGATTTTTTCTTTCTTTTCTTTAAAAAAAAATCTCTCTACTATTTCCTGATGGTATTATAGTAACTGAATCCAATTCTGCTAGCTTTCAAGAGCAGCTAGTGTTTCCACTCAGCTGAGCTATGTGAGGTGTATCTGACCTGGCCTGAGAATCCATCTCCTCCCAGGCACAGTGTCTCTATACTTTGCCTTCCATTGTATTCAGATCTGGAGTATTTTTAATAGCTCCTATTATTCCTGTTCTATAGAGATTTCCTTCTGGATGAAACAAATTTCATCTTAGTTTTCTTTTCTTAACTTCTATACTTTATAATTATAGATCCTAGATAATAATACAGAAATAATTTTTATTAAATTAGCATAATTAAATAAATAAATACAGGTAACTGACCAATACGGCATATTGTTTTGCAAATAAAATTATAAATCCTGAGTAAGAACATGGAAAGAATTCCTATAAAATGAGCATAAATAAAAATATATGCTGAGACAATTGGAAAAGATTTTTTTGAAAGAAAATAGATTCTAAAATACTTACATGGTATTTAAAACCCCAAAACCTGGTTGACTAATTTCATAAAGTACTATATGTATAACATGCCTTAATAATATAATAAGCATAAATAATATTTTAATATACTGGTATACACACAGGTACACACAGATATTTACAGTGGGACAAAAAAGTATTTAGTCAGCCACCAATTGTGCAAGTTCTCCCACTTAAAAAGATGAGAGAGGCCTGTAATTGTCATCAACTATGAGAGACAAAATGAGAAAACATATCCAGACAATCACATTGTCTGATATGGAAAGAATTTATTTGCAAATTATGGTGGAAAATAAGTATTTGGTCACCTACAAACAAGCAAGATTTCTGGCTCTCACAGACCTGTAACTTCTTCTTTAAGAGGCTCCTCTGTCCTCCACTCATTACCTGTAGTAATGGCACCTGTTTGAACTTGTTATCAGTATAAAAGACACCTGTCCACAACCTCAAACAGTCACACTTCACCACTATGGTGAAGACCAAAGAGCTGTCGAAGGACACCAGAAACAAAATTGTAGACCTGCACCAGGCTGGGATGACTGAATCTGCAATAGGCAAGCAGCTTGGTGTGAAGAAATCAACTGTGGGAGCAATAATTAGAAAATGGAAGACATACAAGACCACTGATAATCTCCCTCAATCTGGGGCTCCACACAAGACCTCACCCTGTGGGGTCAACATGATCACAAGAACGATGAGGAAAAATCCCAGAACCACACGGGAGGAGCTAGTGAATGACCTGCAGAGAGCTGGGACCAATGTAACAAAGGCAACCATCAGTAACACACTACGCCGCCAGGGACTCAGATCCTGCAGTGCCAGACGTGTCCCCCTGCTTAAGCCAGTACATGTCCGGGCCCGTCTGAAGTTTGCTAGAGAGCATTTGGATGATCCAGAAGAGGATTGGGAGAATGTCCTATGGTCAGATGAAACCAAAGTAGAACTGTTTGGTAGAAACACAACTTGTCATGTTTGAAGGAGAGAGAATGCTGACTTGCATCCAAAGAACACCATACCTACTGTGAAGCATGGGGGTGGCAACATCATGCTTTGGGGCTGTTTCTCTGCAAAGGGACCAGGATGACTGATCCGTGTACAGAAAAGAATGAATGGGGCCATGTATCGTGAGATTTTGAGTGCAAACCTCCTTCCATCAGCAAGGGCATTGAAGATGAAACGTGGCTGAGTCTTTCAGCATGACAATGATCCCAAACACACCGCCTGGGCAACGAAGGAGTGGCTTCGTAAGAAGCATTTCAAGGTCCTGGAGTGGCCTAGCCAGTCTCCAGATCTCAACCCTATAGAAAACCTTTGGAGGGAGTTGAAAGTCCATGTTGCCCAGCGACAGCCCCAAAACATCACTGCTCTAGAGGAGATCTGCATGGAGGAATGGGCCAACATACCAGCAACAGTGTGTGCCAACCTTGTGAAGACTCACAGAAAACGTTTGACCTCTGTCATTGCCAACAAAGGATATATAACAAAGTATTGAGATGAACTTTTGATATTGACCAAATACTTATTTTCCACCATAATTTGCAAATAAATTCTTTCCAAATCAGACAATGTGATTGTCTGGATTTGCTTTCTCATTTTGTCTCTCATAGTTGAGGTCTACCTATGATGACAATTACAGGCCTCTCTCATCTTTTTAAGTGGGAGAACTTGCACAATTGGTGGCTGACTAAATACTTTTTTGCCCCACTGTATATATACACACATATACATATATACAGACATATCTGTCTCTGTCTCCATCTCCATCTCTGTCTCTGTCTCTATCTCCATCTCTCTATTTCCTTACATTCAAATTTTAATCTTATTCTCTCTGTTTACATCTATTCTGTTGATTGATAAGATACTATCAAATTCTTTTTTAAAATTACAAGTAAGTGCCAGTAATCATCTTTCGTGAGTTTTGTAACACAACTATCCTAAAATAATTACTTATTCTTGATGCTTCTTAAGTGATTTCTGTATTTGGCCTGCAATTACATAGAGCTACTCGTGAGGTAATTTTGGGATCCTTCTCTTCAAACAGACAGATTGATACCATCTGGACTATTCAGGAGACTAGTAAGTTCTTGGAATATCTTTATACAGACAACAATGCAAAAGAAACATGGGCATGGAAACATAGAACTTCTATTGTCCCATTCCTTTATGGGCAGCTTCCTTCCCCTCCCCCTCCTCCCTCTTTTACTCCTCCTCCTCCTCCTTCTCCCTCTCCCCATCCCCATCTCTCTCTCCCTCCTGAGATATTTGAGGGAGTGATTTGTATTATATTTTGGGTTGATTGAAGGATAAACACTAATTAACACTTCCTGCTTGCCCATATCAGTTGGTCTCTTTCTCAGCATATCTCATGTATGGTCATATACCATTTCTAAGGGTATCAAAAAGGGGGTAAATTATACCATCTTTTGCTTTATCCTAACTTTTCAGGGTGCATGGATGGAGCGTGCCCAAGCCACCTCTTCTTCCCCCTCTTCCTGCTTTCTAAGTGATACTTTATGTCTACCTGATTAGAAGCATTACAGTAACAGTCTCCTCTTCCATTGTCATTTGGTTGGGTGGTTTTTTCTATCCTAAAGCAAACATGAACATAATGATTCTTAAACATTCAAACGTGGCTGGGGTGATTTGAATACCCATCAGAAATTCTTTCATTTTTATGATTATTAATGACAAAGTAAAATGTTTAAATACTAATATTTCTCTTTAGTTCATAGCAATGAGGCAGCTATATGATTTTATTCAATTACTAGGATGGACTTGACATTGCTGTGGTTATCTAAGGCAGCGGTTCTCAACCTATGGGTCGCGACCCCATTTGGGGTCGATCGACCATTTCTCGGGGGTCGCCAAACAAGGCGATCCGCCATTTTCCCCCTCGGGGGGGTGGTGCCGCACACGCGCGCCGCGCACGGGGGCGGCCCCGCGCACATGCGCCGCGCATGGGGCGGCCCCATGCATGCACGCTGCGCATGGGGGCGCCGCCGCGCATACGTGCGGTGCCGCGCCGCTCATGGGGGCGGCGCCGCTCATGAGGGCAGCCCCACGCATGCGCGGCACGTTTGTGTGACGGGGGTCGCTGTCACACAAACGTTGAGAAGCACTGATCTAAGGGAACATTATTACTCACCTGTTGCACAGTTATGCCCTTGTTCATATCTTTCAAGGCCATCTGAAGCCCCACACTGTTTAACTGAAGCACATGAGTGCAGGGTTTGAATTCCTATACGGTTAAGGGAAATGAAGGGAGGGAAAATTCTTATTGTGATTTGCCATCTCTTTTTCTCTCCTGATTCTATCTACAACCCAGGAATTCACATTCAGGAATTGGTTATCTTTTCAAGCTTTAGAAGAGAATATTTGTAGCTGAGGGTTGAATTGGGGGTCCTTGGTGCTCTCTGAGCTTTGTTATTGTCTTGCAGATATTTCATTATAACATCATCAATGTTAGCAGGGAGTAGGGTTTGCTCTCATTTTATATACTAGTGGCTTGCCCTGTTGATGGGAATGGTCTTAGTAATTCCTTGATTGGGATATTATTTGCTTCTTGATTGCTGGTCTAATGTTAATCTTGGTATTAATTTCTGCTCATCTGGGTGGTGAGGAGGTGTTTTGTTTTTGTTTCTTTTTTGGCTTTTTGATTGTCTCTTTTGAATGATATGTAGATGTTGTTTATTTGTATGTGCCTGTTGATGGCTGATTTGTTTAAGTGCAAGTCTTCCAGGAATTCTCTAGCATTTTTGGACTTAGCTTGGTCTAAGATGCTCTCAGTTTCCCAATTGAAACTATGGCTAAGTCTGTCCATTTCCAGGCTTATTTGTTTTTATGCTGGGGTTCTTTCCTATAATTTCATCGTACACTGTTCCATTTACCATTTGCCATACACAGAAATTGCTATCCTCTGGCCATGACAAAATGCCCCACTTCAATTGTCCTACATGTCTGTTAGATAAATAAAAAAAAATATTAAGGTCACTTGTTGCTTCTTTACGTAGCAGTAACTAATCTATTTTGAGTTATTTAAAGCATTTGGTAGATGTTAAAGATTAGTAGCTTTTCCTGTGATACTTCATTCCTTTGTTCTTTTTGTTCCTCCTGGTGTTGTTATTTATGTTTTCCATTTACAAATAACAGTATCCACTGAGACAGTTGCTTCCAATCAATTGCTTTTATTTCAAGACTTAGTGTGGAATTGCTTTGAAACACATCTATTTCGTTGGAATCTACCTTGCAACCTTAAAATGCAGAAAATAGGCGAAGACCTGTACAACTCAGTCAGTGCTCATCTATTTTCCCTGATATTGACCAAAGAACAGGCACACCATAGCTAGGCTGCAACATTCTGACTGACTTATCAGATGGCAGCAAAGAGTTAGTGGGCAAATGAGTATGTCTAATGAAGCTCAGAACAATTATTGGTCTTCCTTCTAACATCAGTACCACTGTGTCTGATTAGGGCTACCAGTTCTGGATTGCAAAGCACTAAACTATCTCTAGATGGCACAAAATGGACAGAATTTTATGTATCTCTTTGCAAGCATGGAGTTATTGACTGGATTTTTGCAGCCCAGATTAGTATGTCTAAGAAAGAATGTCACCCAACCAGTATCCTACACCCATAGTTATCAACAATTCTTGAATAACACAAATTTCATCATCTGTCCACATTACTCAAAAAGACTAAATTGTTAGTAGCTCCCCCTTTTATCCATATTTTTATTTAGAACATTTCTGTGCTTTGTATTTTGCCTGGAAATTGGAGTTTTTCCAAAAACAGAGATTGCTAACAACCTCACTACTGTTACTCTGGTGCATTTAAAAATCAGTTTGAATTATGAGAGTAAAATATTGACATGCTTGAAATTTGGCAGATAGATGCTTTTTCAAATAGTTCTGGCCATCATTGCATGCTTTTATGGCAATGTTTCTCAACCTTGGCAACTTTAAGTTATATGTAAAACTTTAACTTTAACTTGTTGCCAAGGTTGAGAAAAACTGTTTTTTGGGCATCTCAGCTGAGAAGGGCTATATAAATTCTAAACTATATAAACAGGAAGAGACAGGCTTTAGGAACTGAACCCAGACATTGAAGGTAGAGGGATTAATGGATAGCATGACCCAAGGAGGCAGTTGAGGCATGAGAATATAGATTACACACAAAGTCTGAAGAATGATGGTGATTTAAAGAAAAATATCAGCTTTAATATTTCGAAATAGACTGGAGGAAAGTCAGAAATACATTAATTATCCAAAACAAATTATATCATGACATTGACAAGTCTGAAACAGATCTTATGCTTGAAGTAGCATAAAACAAATAAGAAGTAAAGTAACACAAAGACAAAAAGAGAAGGGCCTTTTTTATTGTGGCACCCACCCTATGGAACATCATTTCAGTTGAGATTGTGTTAGCTCCAACTCTTCTGACCTTTTGTAAAATTGGGTTTTCTGTCCAGATCTGGGATCCTGAGAATGTGATAGAACCCATCTTTTGACTTCGTTAATGATTTTTTATGAACCTCAGCTACTATGTGTTTTTATGTTGCATTATGTATTTTACTGTTTTTATATATTTGATTGTAAGCTCCGCCAGAATCACTTATATGAGTTAGGTGGCTATATAATTCAAATAAATACATTAAAACACTACAATGTAAAAGTGTCCTTATTAATTCAGAACCAACTTGTCCTCTTTTCTGTTTATTTCAATAATTAATATTTTTTACCATTCTAATAGTGTCTTATACATTGTTAGCAATTTTTCTCATAGTTATATAACTTTATTTTTTTTCATTGTTGATCCCTAAGTTCTGCAGGTCTGACTTCCACAGTGAGGCATCATTTGTTGCCTTGTTCACATTCAACTGTTCCTCCTTCTGTTGAAGTCATTATTTAATGTCCTTTACAGTGTGATTTTGTTCCTACAAATTACTTAGTATTCCAGATAGTTTTATCTCTTTACCAATTCACATGCTTTTCAATCCTTGAATTGGTTTTTTGTTTTATTTTGTTTTTTTGGTAGCAACATATACACTGATGGTGCTTGGTAAATGGGTAATAAGATGACTGAAGTCAGAAAATAGCATTTTTATGTAAACTATAGAAGATTAGCTCTGAAGTCTATTTTTGTATAGGAGTGTGGGGAGAACAAAGAAGAGCCTAAATGAAAGAGAGAGAAAACAAATGACCATTCAGAGAATACCAAGCATAAATTGGTGCAATTCCTGTTTTCTGATAGCAGCTGCAGTAGGAAATGCAGAGAAGATTTTAAGCAAGTGTGAAAGAAAATGCTTATGAAAGAGAGTGGAAACATAGGGGTTAGGTCAGGACAGATGTTATCAGTGATCAGAGGGAGAAACACAGAAGTAAAAGTCATAAGTAAAGAAAGAAGAAGAAATGGGAAAACTAAAAACTGGGCAATAAGGAAGCTTTTCACACAGCTCTTTCAGTTCTTTTCTCTGAGTTGCTGAAAATGTTCCAGTTAATGTGAAGAGGGATATTACACATCTTCCACAATCACAAAGAGTCTGTTAAGATAAGTGTTGGCTGATAGAAGATGTAGCCTTTTCCCAGTGTCTGTAAGCTCCCATTGTTTGTTTGATCTTTTGCCCTCTTTACTTAAAAGGAAGAAAAGGGGGAGAATCCCTCAGTTGCACTTTCACCTTACTTTTTTTTTTTTTTTTTGCTCCTCATCAGAGCATTGCTAAAGAGGCTAAAATGTTTTCCCTGTAATACTTTCATGCTTCTAAGAAGCACCGGCTGCAGTTTTATTCAGCAACAACATCAGTTCAAAGACAACAATTCAGATTTCATTTCCAATAAAAATGCAAAATTATAACTATAGAAATATATAATTCAATTTAGCACTATCAGAGCATGATGTATGACAGTATATGGCATAATAATTGCAATCATATTGATGTGTTCTCATTGATTTATTTTTCATTGCTTGTTTTATTATTCTATTATTTTGTTCTATTATTTGTTTACATTCTTCTCATTTTTTCCTTTTTATTGTTGTAAGCTGCCTAGAGTAGCCCCATGGGGAGATAGGCACCCCAAAAATTTAACAAATAAAGTAAAATAAATATATAAATAAATAAATGATCTAGAATAACATATTCCTCAAGAATAAGGATTCTCCTGCAATGGGTGGGAATTATTTGTCCAAGTAGTATCTTTGCATTCCACTTTTGCTTTATAAAAATAAATGCAGATGGATTCAGCTGGAGGGGTGATATTAAACAAAATTAAAGCAAGTATGCTCTGGGGAATTTAGGTTTTATTCTTACAGAGGTTCTAAGGAATAAAAAGAGAATTCTATTAATTTTGTTAAAAACCTTTCATTTGAAAAAGTGTACCTTCCATTGTCATTATGGGGAACATCCTATGAAACCTGCATGTGAAATGCAGAATGTATTTAAGTCCAAATGAGCTTTAGTCTATAACTAACAATCAACTGAGCAATTAAACAGAGAATAGACTGCTTCAGGCATCAGCTTTTAAGTGCTAAATTAGGGAAGAAATGTTTCTTTCTTACTAAAAAGGAACTCGTGTTTACCTCCATCCTTGCTTAGGAATGGAGACATTCGTTAGTCCTTTGGGAAATATAGACAAAGTGTGCAACTATATTGGAGAGTATTACCAATAAAAGAGAATATAGGTAGCTCAGGGTTGAACTACGGAGTTCTTGGTGTTCTCTGAGCTTGGTGTTTGTTTGCAAATATTTCGTTATCTGACTAGGTAATATTTTCAGTGTGAGAAGGGAGTGAGGTTTATTCTCTGATTAGATGCAGCACTTTGCCCTGCCAGTGTTGGTGGGTATATAGTTCTCCATGATATTCCTTGATTAGGTTGTTGTTTACTGATTGATTGTTTGTCTGGTGTTAATCACTACTTACTTGGGTGTTGATTGCTGGCAAGAAGGTCTTTTTTTCATTTTTAGCTTTTGTATAGTATCTTGAATTGTGTGTGAATATTTTTTATCTCTGTGTGCCTTTTGATAGCTAATCAACCAATTGATGAACAAAATTGTTGATGGCTGATCATATGGCCTCTTAATGGCTGATGGCTGATGGTGAATGTCTAAGCAAACACATGCATGAACATGTACAGAACCACGAGGAATGGGACAAATTATAATATGAAAATTACCAAATTTATTTATCTAAAGAAATAAGTCATTCTTGCAATGTATTTGTGTTAGTTGAAGATGGATTTTTTGAATTAGAACTAACTTTTAAAGCTTACCTTTTCCTTAGAATGGTTCATTTTTGCTGGACTAAGTTGCAGGTGTGCACTTCCCTTGCTTGTTTTCTGTCATAAAGCCATCATGATGCAAATGTAAATCAGTGCATGAATTGTATGAGCCAAGAAACATCACATCCTAAATTCACAAAAGTATTCCATCAAACATTCTTTTAAAAGTATTTTAATTCCCCACATTGCCTGAGACCAAAAATATATCAAATTATTTTTGCCCATCAATTTACCTGTTGCCTATTCTCTGTTGCCTATTCTGCCTATTCCTATTCTCATGGTCTACATCAAGCGAGTTTTACCACTACCACTTTCTTCCAAATGCCAAGATTGAGTATAA